CAGCACCCCTAGTAGAAGCACCAGCACCAGTAGCAGCTCCAGCTCCAGTACCTCCAGCAGCACTAGTAGTACCCCCAGCAGGACCGCCTGCAGGACCGATAGTAGTAGCCTCCGCGCCAACACCCGCAGCAGCTCGAGCTCCAGAAGTAGCCGCAAGTCCAGCAGCTCCAGTACTCCCAGTACGAGCACCTCTGGGACCCGTGGCACCAGCTCCCTCAGGAGCAATAGAACCTCCAGTACCCGCAGCACCTCCAGCTCCAGCAGCCCGCCTCCAGCGCCGGGCAAACCACTCACGTAGCTCCTGTGGAAAAAGTGGCTCTCGGCGAGAAGAAGCACCCACAGAACCGCTAGGCACAGCACCAGCAGGCCCAGCTCCCTCAGGCTCCACACCCCCAGGCTCAGCACCTCCAGGCGTAGCACCCCCAGGCTCAGCACCCCCAGGCTCAGCACCCCCAGACTCAGCACCCCAAGGCTCAGCACCCCCAGTCGTAGTACCCTCAGGCTCAGCACCCCCAGGCATAGCATCCACACGCTCAGCACCCCCAGAGTCAGCACCCCCAGGCTCAGCACCCTTAGCAGCACCAGAGTTACCAGCGACCTCGACAGGCTCAACAGCGTCTACCTGGGACACACCTGAAGGGGCAGGACCCTGAGGGGGGAGGGGGTCTACCGGGGGGGGACCTGGCATAAGGAAGAGCGGTGGCGGGGGGAGGGACGAAGTGCGGTAGGGGAAGAGACGGTAGTAGGGGACCGACTCGTCGAATGTGACGTCCAAGGAGGACAGAACATGGTGAGAGGTGGGGTGGTAGAACTTCCACCCTGGCGCGTCAGGGGGGAAACCCAGGAAGACGCAGAGAGCAGCACGAGAGGACAGCTTGTCTGCAGACAAGTCGCGGACAAACGCCCGAGATCCCCAGACACGGAACGCAGACGCATCGCTAACCTTCCCCGTCCACAGCAAAGCTGGGGAGGTCTCCTGCATGGAGAACCTGGGGTGAAGGTTGATCTCATGCGCCGCGTACCGAACCGCAAACGGCCACAGAAAATGGGGGGCAGCCGCATGCATCATGGACGTACGGGCGATGTCCATGACCATGCCAATGCGGCGCTCAGCAAGGTGAGCAAGGACAGGACCCCCAGAGGGGTCTGCCAGGAAGACTGCAACTGGCCGACCAAGCGGCTTGAGTGTGGTGCGGTCTCGAAAGGAGCGAGAAGCCCCCGAGTCAAGTGTGAAGGTGTGGAAGGCCGAAGCCGACGTAGTACCTAAGAGCGCAGACTCACCAGTACTGGAGGAAGCAGACGCACTAGCACCTAGAGCAGCACCCTCGCTAGCACGAAGAGCACCAGCCTCACCTGCACCTAGAGCAGCAGTCGCAATGCCCAAGTCGGGCGGGAAACACCGGGAACAGTCACCCTCCTCACTAAAAGACACAGTATACATAGCAGCAAGAATAGCATCAAAGTCAAGGTCAAAGAAAGCTACCCCTAACCTAGACAACTCGCCCCAGCGAGGGATCTTAGTGGCCTCAGGGAACTGGTGACGCCAAGCGTTCGTCAGGCGGCCAAAGCAGCGCTGGGTGGGGTGCGCACCCCCACAGTGCTCACCCGCACGGTTGCCGGTGCGCAGGACGTAGGTGTACGGACCAAAACCCCCACCCCGCTGGCGTGCAGAGTACCACTGACGGAGCTGTTGAGGGGACAGGGTCTCTCGACTGGGCTGCTGCTGCTGGCGCTGACCACCACCGGAGCCACTCCTCTGCGAAGAGCCACGACCTCCTCCTCCTCCTCCTCCTCCTCCTCCTCCTCCTCCTCCTCCTCCTCCTCCTCTGCCACCGCCTCCTCCACCTCCGCCACCTCCACCACCTCCGCTCCCACCGCCACCGCCGCTGCCGCCTCCGCCTCCACTGCCGCCACCGACACCTCCACCCCCGCCACCACTCCCACCACCACCCCCACCCCCTCCACTGCCTCCACCGCCGCCTCCAATGCCCTCGCTAGCTCCTCCAGCGCCCCTGCCCCCCTTGCCCGTGCCGGAGCGTCGCTTCCCACTAGGGGTAGACGCCGCACCGACCGACTCCAGACCAACGAGGTAGGCCGCAAGAGCAGAGGCAACAGAGGGCAAGAGAGGGGAGGGGGAACACCCCTCAAAGATGGGGGTGCGCGGGTCACCAGGAGAGGCTCCTACAGCGACTATGCTCTTCTCTGCTGCTAGGAGGGCCTTCTCGAGGAGGTCAAAAGTGAGAGTGGTGGGAAAGACTGAGAGAAAGTGGTCCCTGACTACGCGAAGGGAGTCATGGAGGCGACTGACTATGTAGTAGAGAGTGATGTACATGGGCGGGGGGGTTCTTGGTATAGAATTCAGCAGGAAGCGCACCACGGTAGCGAGTGTCACTACTGCGGAGATGCGTAATGAGGTCACCGACTGTGGGAAAGGCAGCAAGGTCAGGGAAGAGGTACGGTAGCATGAGGCGGCTTAGTGCAGCAGTGGGAGGGGAGGAGTAGCGTGCAACTACAACGTCGTACAAGGTCTGAGCACTCTTGTACTCGCTAAAGTGCGCACGCTCAGGGGTAGGCAGGTGGCGACGCACAGCAAGACGTGCAGCAGCATCCCGCGTGGCCCACTGTGAGCGGACAGTGGCGCCAGCATCAGCAGCAGGGGCACGAGAGGCACCAGAGGTGAGGTCAAAGAGAGAGAGACCGTCCGCCCTATCGCACTGTAAGAAAAGCTGCAGGTCATCTATCGAGACATCAAAGTCAATGGCCCGACCCTTAGCGTCAAAAGCGAGGACACTAGGGGTAGCTATGACAGCTGTAGACTAGCAGCGCGAACAGTAGGGTGAGGGTAGTGCAGTGACAGAGGCGCTGCTCTTACCAGACAGGGCGGCTCTGGCTGCTTGGCTGCAGGGCGACTCGGCGGCTCGGCAGCTGGGCGGTAGGCGGCTCGGCAGCTGGGCGTCTCGGCGGCTCGGCTGCTTGGCGGCTCGCCGGCTCGGCTGCTGGGCGGCTTGGCGGCTCGGCTGCTGGGCGGCTCGGCGGCTCGGCTGCTAGGCGGCTCGGTGGCTCGGTTGCAGGGCGGTTCGGCGGCACGGCTGCTGGGCGGCTTGGCGGCTGGTTGGCTTGGCGGCTCTTCTGCTGGGCGGCTCGGCGGGGCCGCAAAGGAGGCGGCGGAAGGGCCGCTGAGAGGAGGCGGCTGGGCCGCCGAGAGGAGGCGGCGGGTCCGCGGAGAAGAGGCGGCGGGGCCGCGGAGAGGAGGCGGCGGGGCCGCTTAAAGGAGGCGGCGGGGCCGCTGAAAGGGCGACGACGACGCCGCTGCAGGGGTAGTGGCGGGGTCGCTGAAAGGAGACGGCGGGGCCGCTGAGAGGAGACGGCGGGGCCGCTGAAAGGAGACGGCGGGGCCGCTGAAAGGAGTCGGCGGGGCCGCTGAAAGGAGACGGCGGGGCCGCTGAGAAGGGTGGCGACGAGCTGCTGAAGAGGGCGGCGACAGAGCCGCAGGGAGGGCGGCGTCAGGGCCGTGCAAGGGCGGCGACGGGGCCGCTGGTGAAAGGGTGGCGAGGGGCCGCAGGGGGAGAGCGGCGACGGGCCGCGAAGGGCGGCGGATCGGGGCCGCAAGGGCGGCGGATCGGGGCCGCAAGAGCGGCGGATCGGGGCCGCAAGGGGCCGCTAGGGGGCCGTGAGGGCGGCTTGGGCGGCGCGACGCGGCCGTTAGGGCGGCGCGACTCGACCGCCAGGGCAGTGCGACGAGGCCGCTAGGGGCGGCTAAGGGCGACGCGACGGGGCCGTGAGGGGCCTAGTGAGGGCGCGACGGTAAGGAAGGCACATGAGGCACGACCCGGGCCTAAGCGAAGCGCGCTCCGGACAGGAAAAAAAACATTTCGTAGTGGTGGGCCCTAGGAATCGTTCCCGTTAGGGAACCTGCTCGATACCATGAGAAGAAACGAGAATGAATGAACTATGAATGAATTGGGTACAATAACTAACCCTAATTGGGTTGTACCCCTTATGGGCATGAGCCTATAGCCTACACAATATGCATGAGCTATAATGTTCTGACAAACTTGTAGTGCGTCCAACGTTCTCTCTTGTCTCGGTGCAGGTTGTGGTTGTGGCATGAAGCTGACGGAGCCGCGCTGGGGCTCGTACGGAGTGAAGGTAGGTTGCTGTTGTTGATTCCCGCGTGCGTAGGATGAGCCATCGAGACTCATGGGGGTCACGTTGTTGTTGTTGCAGTTGTTTGATTGCGCAGGTGCTCCTTGCTGATGCTGCTCGTAGAAGGACATGAAGGAGAAGAACTTCTCCATCATGCTTGGATCGAAGCTCGCGCCTTGGTTTGCGGGTGTTTCAGTAGACCCAGCTGCCGGTCTCGTTGTTGTGCCTTTTGTCAACAAATATAGTGGCAAAGAACAATATATTCTGTTGCTTGCTAGAATGGGTGTAGAAGGGTGTAGGTTTGGGTTATGCCATTCGGGTGCAGGGGATTCCTTGGGCCAGGGGAATGACGCGAAGTTGTTGGCATGGGGAATTGGGGGCATTGGGAAAAGTGACAAGGCGCCTCGAGGGACAGGAAATCTACATTGACCAGTAAGGGCACAAGGCGACCCGAACCCAACTCAAGGTGATGGCAATCGCCAAAACTCAGAGTGGGAATAAAGTAGCCTAGCCTAGCCAATTGAGCCTGTTCTCTCGCTTTGTTTGCCTCATAGAGTGGATTGAAGTTGCCGGTTTAAGCTAACTCCAGCTAGGTAGCTCTAAGCCACTGTGGGCAGCCATGGGGTGGGAGCACGATTCTCTCACAAAGCGAGAGAAGTTGGCCGGCGACATGGATCGCTACGATCTGCACATGCAGCGGACGTACGCGCGGCGGGAGCAATCTCCGTCGCGGATGAGGCGCTCCAGGGAGCGTGGGAGATCGCCGACGCGCTCGTCCCGTCGGGCGGCGTATCGCGCGGATCCGGTGACGCCGACGGGCGGGCAACGAGAAGGAAGCAGGGAGGATGTAAGCGTCAGATCGGAGCCTTGGAGGCGTCCCACAACGAGTAACCCGTGGAACCTGGCCGGAGGCCAGCACGGAGGGGATGGAAGGCGCCAAGCCGAAGACATGGACGTGGATCCGGCGGGCAAGCAGGGTGAAGAGGAAGGACGAGAAGATACCCTGCTTGCACGGGGCGGCGGAAGGCATGTCAACGCCAACGATGAAGGTTCCCCCACTGCGCGGGGCGGCGGAAGGCATGTGAACGCCAACGACGAAGGTTCCCCCACTGCGCGGGGCGGCGGAAGGCATGTCAACGCCAACGACGAAGGTTCCCCCACTGCGCGGGGCGGCGGAAGGCATGTCAACGCCGACGGGGAAGGTTCCCCTACTGGGCGGGGCGGTGGAAGGCATGTCAACGCCGACGACGAAGGTTCCCCCACTGCGCGGGGCGGCAGAAGGCATGACAACACCGACGACGAAGGTTCCCCCACTGCGCGGGGCGGCGGAAGGCATGTCGACGCCGACGACGAAGGTTCCCCCACTGCGCGGGGCGGCGGAAGGCGTGTCAACGCCAATGACAAAGGTTCCCCCACCGCACGGGGCGGCGGGAGGCGCATCAGCACCGACGACGAGGTTTTCACCACTGCGCGGGGCGGCGGAAGGCGTAGCAATGTCAACGACGAAGGTTCCCCCACCGCGCGGGGCGGCGGGAGGCGCGTCAACGCCGACGACGAAGCTTCTCCCACTGCGCGGGGCGGCGAGAGGCGCAGCAATGTTGACGAAGGAGATTTCCCAGCTGCTCGGAGAGAGGGGAAACGAGGGGACGCCGGAAAGAGAGAGCAGGAGCAGAGCCAAGGAAAGAAGATGCAGGAGTATTACAAGGGAGGCGAGACGGAAGAAGGCTCACCTATGAGGCGGCGAGGCGAAGGTGCGCCGCGAGGGAGGGTCCAAGGTGCTGGACAGCAGTACAAGGCGCAGGCAGAGGGGGGAAGAGATCAAGAGGCGGCACCAGGTGCATTTCGTTCGCCGGAACCAACGCTAGGGTACAATCGCCAGCGACGCATGGCGATGGGTGAAGGGAGGAGGCCGAGTCCACAGCAACAGCACGGACGGGAAGAGTATGTGGGGCGACGCCAGAGAAGCCCACCTGAGCAAGAGCGGAGGTATGCCGAGGAAGGAAGGGGCAGGGATGGGGGCCGGCAGTCATAGTATTGTTCGAGGGCGGAGGAGAAGAGATGGGTGAGGAGAGAGCAAGAAAGGCGGCACCAGGGGCGTTCCCCCGCGGGGAGGGACAGGATATGGACGGAGGGGCGCAGAGAAAACCTTGAGAGGGACAGGAGGAGGAGCCCCAGTCCTATAGGGCCAAGGAGGCAATACAGAGAAGAATCGGCTGGAGCAAGAGCGGCGCGCGAAGGGTTGGAGCGAGTGCTGTACGGGACCAGCATGGGGAGCAAGGGAGAAGAAGGGAAGCAGAGAAGAGGCACACCTGTAGAGCAAGGAGACTCAGGAAACTGGGAGACACGCAGGTGGGGCACGGCAGCACCGCCAAGAGTGGAGGTGCCGGTACGCTTCACAGGGAGCGAAAGCACGGGTCCAAGCCTCAAGAATTACTTGATGCAGATAAGCAATGTCAAATACAGATGTGACAGGAGTGGGATGGACCCCATTGACTTTTTCCTAAGCTTGCCACACACGCTAGGGGGAGAAGCAGAGACATTATACCGCATGAAGATTAGGGAGTAGCTAAGGAGGGCAGAAGAGGACGGCGAGGATCCAACCCTGCTGTTTTTGGAGCGGCTAAGGAAGCAGTTTCCCGGGCATACAGCCACGCGTATCAAGGAGTTCCAGGAGTTTAAACGGAAGGATGAGGAGTCGTTACTGACATACTATGGGAGATTGATGAATCTGGCGGAGGACGTGGTGTGCACGGACCACAGCATGATCATTAGCAAGTTCTTGAATGGGTTGGATAAAGGGTTGGCAGGAGGACTGAGGATGAGGGTCTACGACTTAGGAGCTGACGCAACGCCGGAAGAAGTATTTGAGCTGGCGGAGAGAGTGGAGCTGGCGCAAAGGAAGTATGAGGTGTACCTGCCGAGGCCGACAGAGAAGAGGAATCCCGCGTGGGCTGCAGCAATGATACATGAGACAGGAGGAAGGGAGGAGAGTCGGCAAGAGAGAGGGGCTGAGACACGCACCTGCCACAGATGCAAGCAACCAGGGCACTTCGCGAGGAACTACAGGAATTGCGACACGTGTGGGAAGCCGGGACACAGGCGCAAGGACTGCCCGGATGCGCCAACCTGCGAGGTTTGCGGGAGGCGGGGGCACAAGGGGAAGGACTGCTACCAACGTACGAGAGGGCCGAAGAGGACGCCAGAGGAGATTCAGAGCCAGATAGGGAGATTGCAGGCACAACTGCAGGCATTAGGAGGGAAGAAGGAGAAGGAGGCAGGGTTATATGCACGAGAGGAGGATGACGAAGCAGAGGTGATAGAGGAGCCAGAGCCGGAGTACAATTTTATGGTGCTACGCAGCCGGGAGGAGTTGGGCCTGCGCAGCGGGGGCAAAGATGGGAGAAAGGAACACATAGTCAAGGAGAAGGGCAGGCCAAGGCGGGAACCAGAGGAGGACTGTGGGGAGGAGGAACCAGCCAGGCATCCCAAGGAGCGGCTAGCCAGTCAGGCGACAGTGCTGATGGCAGGAGCAGGGACAGTGGCAGTAGGAGGGGAAATGGCAAGAACCGCAATCTTAGACACGGGGGCACAGAGTGTGATGTTGGGGAAGCGGCTAGCAGAGAAGCTGGGGTTGACAGGGCCAGGGCAGCACATAAAGAGGGGAATGCTGGTCATGACAGCAGAAGGGGGTGAACCTAAGTGGTTGCCGTGCACCAAGAATCTAGTGGAGATCGTCCTGATGCCAGGGAGGGAGGAGCAGACCAGCATAAGGCTGCATTGTGGGATCTCTGACTCAGAAGAATTTTGATGTGTTGCTAGGCACGGACTTGATTTGGGGCGTGGGGATGACCATTTGCACATGGAAAGAAAAGGTGAAGTTTCGGAAGCAGTATTGGGTGCGGGGGAGCAAGAGAGGAGAGTTGCCAGTGTCATTCGTGAAGCAGGAGCCGAAGAGAGCGTACACGGCTGAGCAGACGGGGACAAAGGGGAGAGGTAGAGCAGGACTCGTGGGCAGAGCAGCAGCGGCCAACGCGTGGCAGGAGCCAATAAAGCTAGTAGAACTGTTTGGGGGAATCGGAGCAGGGTTAGCGGCACTGCTCAAGGCAGGGGTGGCAGTGAAGGAGTGGATATATGTGGAGAGTAACAAGAAAGTGAGGAAGATGGCAGAACATCATGCGAGAAAGCTGCAGCAGGAGTATCCTGAGTTACTGGATGAGGCAGTGATAGAGAAGGCCATGCAAAGGAGACTGACCGATGTAAGAAGCATCACGCGGGAGATAGTAAGAGGTTGGGGGCATGTGGACCTGTTGGTGGCAGGATGGGAGTGTCAAGCCGTGTCGAGAGCAAGAAAAGGTAAGGGGCTGAGCGATCCAAGAGGCGCGCTGCTTGTGAACTTGCTGTGCATCATAGATTGGATTAAAGAGGGACAAGAAAAAGTGGTGTACCTGCTGGAGCACCTGGATTTGGAAGGGGATTGCAGGGAGCCGGTGAGGAAGGTACAGGAGTTGGTGACAAGGAAGCTAGGGAAAGGGGTGAGATGTGATGCGGCTAGGCTGGGGGCACGGGCGCATCGTGTCCGACGGTACTGGCAGAATATTGTGGCAGATGAGCAACTGCAGCAAGAACTGGACGGGATACGAAGGGATTGGGGCAGGACGGTGAGAGAGATTTTAGAACCGGGAAGGACAGCAGCGCCTGTCAGGAAGGGCAGGCATGAAACACAGTGCCCGTGCAACAAAGTGGGGGCAGAGCGCAGGGCCTGGCCGACCTTAGTGGGATATGAGGGAGCAGCAGGGTTCAGAGAGGAAGACGGGATGCTAGGGGAAGGCATGGTGTACGACAGCAGGACGAAGAAATGGGAGGAGCCGACTGCGTTGGAAAGGGAATTGGCAATGGGGTACGGAGAGGAGGTAACAAAGGCAGTAGGGGTGATGGAAAGGGAGAGGAGGAGGGCATTAGGACAAGCCATGGACGGCCAGGTTATGCTGTGGCTAGTGCGGCGGATGTGGAGAGGGTTAGTGCTGGAAGAGGAAAACGAGCAAGGGAGTGAGGGGACAAGGGTGATACAGGTGGGGGCATGGGCATGCATGGCAGCCGAGGAAGAGCCAAAGTGGGTTGTGGGGAATGCAATGAGTGAGAAAGGAAAGGAGGCAATGCAGGAGGTGCTGGCAAGGTACAGGCACGCCTTCGCCTTCACCTTACAGGAGCTGGGGAAGTGTTCTGTGAAGGAGATGGAGTTAAGGCTGGTGACGGACGAGCCGGTGTTCCAAAGGAAGCGGAGGATGACACCTGGAGATGAGGACATTTGCAAGGAAAAATGCAGGGAGCTGATGGAAGCACGGCTGATACAGAGATCAGAATCAGAGTACGCGACACCTACTGTGGTAGCTGCCCGTAAGGACCTGCTAGGGGAAGTGCTGAGCAGACGCATGTGTGGGGACTATCGAGCACTGAACAAAGAGACAGTGCCCGACAGGTACTCAATGCCCACAGCGGAGGATATCTTTGACCGACTGGGGGCAGGGGAGATCTTCAGCACACTAGACTTGAGACAGGGGTTCAAACAGATCAGGATAAGGAAAGAGGACGTGCGCAAGACGGCGTTCCATGGGGCAGATGGCTTGTACGAGTGGCTATTCATGCCGTTTTTGGCTGAGAAATGCGTCGGCCATCTTTCAGAGAGTGATGGATAGCGTGCTGAGGGGACTGGAGTGTGCGGCATGTTATATAGACGATGTAGTGATTTTCAGCAGAACGGAGGATGAGCACGTGAGAGATGTGGAGCAGACACTGAAGGCGTTAGCAGCAGCTGGGCTAACATGCCATCCGAAGAAATGCAGGTGGGGAGAGGCGACTGTGCACTACCTGGGATATGAGGTCAGGGGCGGGCAGTTAGGAATTCAGCAGGCGAAGATTGAGGTCTTGAACAGGCTGCAGCAGCCAAAGGACAGGAGTGGACTGAGGGCGGTACTAGAATTCCTGAGCTATTACCACAGGTTCGTCCCAAATTTCAGCAAGCGGGCCGCACCGCTGAACGGGTTGTTGAAGGAGGATAGGAAGTGGGAATGGGGGATGGAACAGGAAGCACCGTTGAAGGACCTGATGGAGGCGGTAAAGACGGCAACAATCCTGCAGTTACCTAGGGTCGATAAGCCCTTCTGCCTGTATACCGACTGGAGCAGTCAAGGCATGGGCGCCATCCTGTGTCAAGAGAGAGTGGTGGCGTACGCAAGCAGGAGCTACAGCCCAGCGGAAGCCAAGTACAGCTCCTACCACGGGGAGGGGTTGGCAGCCGTGTGGGCTGTGAAGCACTTCAGGGTATACTTGCAGGGGAGGGAGTTTACACTGATCACAGACCATCAGCCCTTGCAATGGTTGATGACACACCAAGGGCTGACAGGGAGGAATGCGCGTTGGGCCGTGATGCTGCAAGAATACGACTTTAAGATACGCCACAGGCCGAGGAAGACCCTGCAGCATGTGGACGGGCTCTCAAGGAACCCGCCGGCAGCAGAGCCAGTGCACACGCTGATGATGCTGGTGAGGCAAAGGGAGGAGGCAGCAGCAGGGAAGAAAAAGGGACCAAAGGACATTTGGGAAGATCCAGCAGCGCTGCGATGGATTAAAGGAGAAACCGATGAGGATGAGCAGGTCTCTGACAGGGTGAGGGCGAGGGGACACCATTACCGATGGTATCAGGGGCAGCTGCAGTTGCAGTCAGCGGACGGGTGGAAATTGATACCTGCACCACAGGAAAGGGAGGGACTGATTAAAGAAGTGCACAGGAAGCTGGGGCACTTTGGGCACGAGCGCACAACGGAACTGTTGAAGACAGGCTGGTGGTGGGAGAGAATGAGAAGGCAGGTCAGAGAATGGGTCAGTGGATGCGAAGGGTGTCAGAGGAGTAAGGCCAGTCTGACACAGGCAAAGCTGGTGCTGCAGTCACTCTTGATAAGAGGGTTGGGGTTCAGGTGGTCTCTGGACATAGCTGGTGAGCTGCCGCTGAGCAGGGGAGGCAAGCGGTATATAC